CATACATGCACTGGAGCTGTCACAGTGTTTCCTTAAACAGCCCAGTCACTAAATCTGCACATAGTGAAAACTGCAGTTTTGCCTTAGCATATTTTTCTTGGTTTTGATTCCTGCCTTCCTTTTTTACTCCTTCTGGCTGCGTTTTTGCGCCTTCCTTTGCAATCCCCTGCGCATATCTGCGGATGCACTCCTAAAACATTCATGTAAGGCTGCCAGGTCTGGAACGTCCTGCCAGGGTCTGCTCTCTTGGACTGCCTGTGACTAGCTCAGCCCTGCCTTTTTGCTGGGTCGATCCAAGTACAACTGTGTTCCACTTTTGCTAATTGTTTTTGGTAACAAGTATTTCCTCTCCACTGAGTCTCGCGCAGCAGATTAGAGCTCTTGGGCCATATGGAGAGGCATCTCGAGCCAATTTGAAACTAGGCCTGTAATGCGTCGTGTCTATCGCTGAGGAAGTGCAAACTGCAGATTCCACTTACAAAGGAACTTACGACTTTAATATATGTTAGTGCAGTGCTTCCCTTGGTATTCAAGATGTTGTCTGAGAGGCAGGTCGCATCTGGCTGACCTTGAAAAAACTGCTCCCTTGTCCTTGGTTCAGTTGGTGGGAGCAGATGCAGCATCACACGATAAACAACGAGAGGGAACAGACTTTTGGATGGGTTTATTGTCAAGACTTGCTTTGATTCAGTTTGCCTGAGCATCTACCCGCGTGACTGAGCCAAATCTATTTGACTGAAATGTTTGTCCTTAGCTAGGGTGGCGAGGAAGTGGTCAGCTGTCTGAAAGCATGCTGCAGTACGGTCTCAGAACAATGCCCATCTTGCAGACTTCACAGGCGTACATCATTTTTTAGATATTTATGCCCTGCTTTTCTCCCCATAGGGTTCCCAAATAGGGATAGGCACGAATCGGGAAAATGGAGGTTCGTGGGGTCCCAGCCACAGACAGGTGTAAAAAAACACAACTCCCACTGAAGAGGAGGTTTTGTCTGTGTGTCCTCAGGCAAGGAACCTACTGGCTGAGCCCCTGCCTGGCTGTAGCAGAGGGACAGGTGGTGGCTCACTCAGAGCCCTGATAAGCGGGCACCAAACACACCCACTGTTTTTACACTGAGGAATTACTTTCTGTTTCCTTTCCTTTCCTGTCTGCCTCTTACTTCTTCTCTGCCTGACTGCCTGTTGACAAGTAAGAAGAGCTGTGTGTGAGCGGGGGGTGGTGGTATATATACATTGTGCTCCCATAGAGCAGAATGGGAGCGCTCTTGTTGGCCACCAGAGCTGCCTGTCGAGCTTTGGAGCACCACTATAAGTGTTTCCAGGCTGCAGAAGGGCTGCAGAAGTCCATCCCCCCCATTGGCTTGACAATTAATCAATTGGTAACAGTGTGTCTGGCTCAAAAAACCATCACCATGAACCTTACAAACCTCTGCAAAAATCATGGGAGACGTGATTTCACAAACTGGGGTCTCATGAACCACGAACTGGCCAAGTTCGTGGTGAACTTAGGTTGGTGGTGAGGTTTGTGCCCATCCCTAGTTCCAAAGCGGCTTATAATATCATTTTCCCCCTCCTGTGCAACAGTTGAGGACAGTTCTGTGACAAGGACAACACTTGGGGCAGCAGGCAGCCCAGCCTCCACTGAGTGGAACCCCTCATGGGGTGAAATGTGCTTCTGAGCAGGAAACAGAACCCACTATGCCCCCATGGGATACCTACGATATGTGGGCCCCCTCTCTGTCATACTGATGGACATTTTGCTAGTTACATAACAACCTCAACTTCTTTGTATGTAAAAGCTTTTTTGTTCATGCCATGGATAACCAGCAATCTTATTAAAATTTCACATCACGAAGTCATTATCCAAATCTGTCCAGAACTGTTGTTTTTCTATCTCCTTTTAATCCAAATGTCATCTGCATCAACTTTCTCTTAGTCTACAAATGCAGGGACAGTGAGTCATAAATTCCAACTTTTCTTGTTTTGACATCTTCTGTCTTTTTTCACATGCTCTATTAGTTCAAATGATATAGATTAACCGTCGGTTTGATTTTCAGTTTTGTTTAATAGCTCTTTGGCTGCTGTCTGAGGAGGAGGGGCTTGCAGAATAGCAGACGGCATGAAAAGAAAAGGCCCAAGACCGAGCTGTCCCTCCCAGCTGCACGAAACCTGCAGGCTCTACTGGGAGATTTTTGAAAATTATTAGACAGACAAACTTTGGGGTGGGGTGAATACAGAAATGTTACTTAAGAGATTCATTTAGCAGCAGTCTGACAAAAGCAAATTATGCCAGTATATCTGAAATGCTTCTATAGATGTGTTCTTAATAAACACAATGGAATTATTCAGTGAGAAAGCAAAACTGCATTCCATTTATCTCGGGGGTGTGTGTGTGTGTCTGAATTTGTATGGCATCACTAAGGGATCCACTACACACAACATTTTCCCCAAGGGTGGATTGGAGAGGCATGTTTGAAAGTTCCATGCTTCCTAGGCACACATAGGCTGAATTCAGACTGGGACCATGGTGCATTGAGAAGGGAGGCTTAGATACCCCCTCTGTCATCATTTTCCCCAACCTGAAACAGCCTGGGGGGTACTGGTTACCAATGCTCCCTCTAAGCTGTGGAGTCTTGTGAGCAGAAGCTCTACTTTGTGAGTAAGTGATTCGGCTGCTGCATAAATTAGGTTGCTCTGGAGCCATCCTTCCTGAGCTAAGACAAAAATATGTGAGCTGGAGGCTGAAAACCGGTGAGCTAGCTCACACTAACTCAGCTTATAGGGAACATTGCTGGTTACCCATTGTAAGAACTTAATATGTAGCTTATCAGTACACATGCAGCCCTCCCACAAGACATCTTTATAAATCATCTGGATGAAGGAATAGAGGGAATGCATTAAATTTGCAGATGATACTAGATTGGGAGGGGTAGCAAATATAGTAGAAGACAGAGTCAGGATACAGGATGGAAAACTGGGCTAAAAAAATAAAACAAATATCAGTGGGGAGAAATGTCAAGTTCTGCATTTAGGTAGGAAAAATCAAATGCATAACTATAGGCTGGGGGAGACTTGTCTTGGCACAGTATGTGCGAAAAGGATCTAGGGGTCTTAGTAAACCATACACTGAACATGAGTCAGCAGTGTGATGTGGTAGCCAAAAAGGCAAATGTGATTTTGGGGTGTATCAACAGAAGTATACTGTCCAGATCACATGGAGTGATGGTATTGCTTTACTCTGCTCTGGTTAGACCTCACCTAGAGTACTGTGTTGAGTTTTGTGCACCACAATTTAAGAAGGATATAGACAAGCTGGAACATGTCCAGAGTAGGGCAACAAAGATGGTGAAGTCTGGAGACCAAGTCCTACAAGGAAAGTTTGAAGGAGCTGGGTATGTTTAGCCTGGAGAGGAGACGACTGAGAGGTGATATGATAACCATCTTCAAGTACTTGAAGGGCTGTCATATAGAGGATGGTACAGAGCTGTTTTCTGTTGTCCCAGAAGGTTGGAGCAGAACCAATGGGCTGAAATTAAATCAGAAGAGTTTTTGGCTAAACATCAGGAAGAACGTCCTGACAGTTACAGCGGTTCCTGAGTGGAATACGCTTCCTCAGGAGGTGGTGGGCTCTCCTTCTTTGGAGGTTTTCAGAGGCTAAATGGCCATCTGACAGCAATGTTGTTTCTATGAACTTAGGCAGATCATGAGAGGGAGGGCAGGAAGAGTTGCCTCAGTGTTTAGTTCTTGTGGTCCTTTCTTACACGCCCAGGGGAATGCTGATTGCCACTTTGGGGTCAAGAAGTAATTTTTCTCCAGGCCAGCTTAGCTGTATATCCTGGAGGTTTTTTTTGTCATCTTCTGGGCATGGAACAGTGGTTACTGGGGGTGTGGAAGGGGGGATATTTGTGAATTTTCTGCATTGTGAAGGGGTTGGACTAGATGACCCTGGAGATCCCTTCCAACTCTATGATTCTATGATTCTGACAAACACCCCTCCAACTGTTTCAGGTCAGGAAAATAGTGAAGAGGGGTTGTCTAAGCCCCTTCTCTTCTCTGGGAAGTACCAGTCTTCAGATTGTGCCCCTCCATCTTGGCCAGGGATGTCCCTTGGGAAAGTGTAATGTGTTGTTGGGCCCTATCAGTCAGTACCATTAAGCAGATGTGTGGACCTTGCATGTTTAACCACCACTGCTGATCCCAACTGCAGCTTTCCTTACCACCACAGCTCATGCCGAAGTTAAGAGAGCAACAGCAGATATGCAGTGGGGACGCAGTTCTGGGGTGCACTATTGCCACTCTGGAAATAACATGATCCTGGCATGCATGCACATTTCACCCAATTTTTACTTTTCATTTATGCATTTTGAAAGAGAAGAGTTTGCAGATATTGAGTGAACCACACATACAATTGTGTGCACATAACACCCAAATCACATGTTGCTTCCTATGTGTTAGTGGGCACACAGGACTCAAGAACCAGGTTCATGTCCTATCACGTGAAGGATATTACCCAATTTGTCAACATCTGGTCCAAGGAATCTCCAGTGTGCACACAGAGCCCCCCGCCCACGTGCAGACTTTTCTATTCAGCAGGAGCAGCAGTGCTATGCCTAAAACAGATGAGCATGCAGAACTACCACTGTGATTGAATGAGGAAACCCTTATGCACACAGAATTTGGGACTATGTACTGGAGCAGCCGTGTGTACACGGACCCGAAGCATGAGGCTGATCCTCTCTATTTCCCGCACTCAGCTCTCAAGGGAAAGCAGCATCTGTGCCTTTGTGCATGCATGACAGGATGTATCACATAAGCCACCCAAGGGACTGAGGCCAGCAGAAGAGAGACCATTACTGGGCGTGAACCAAGATGGAGCCCATTATTTCCAAATGGAAATGGAAGCAGCAGTGTCTTTTGTTTTGAATGCTAGAAACAGAACAACAAACACCTGTTGATCAAGATTCTCAGATCCTAATTCTGTCAAAACTATTATTGATTTACCTGAAAAAGAGGGGTCTGCTTTTCTGCATTTGAAGCCTTGTCCATCCAGGAGTCCAAAGGTTTCAGAGACGTTGTGCTTTGAGTAACCACAGGAAACTTAGCTGCCAAAGTCGGCCTGCTGGATACATGCAACTGCTGCTCCTGCTGCACTATCTGGAGCTTTTTTAACAATACATGTGGTGAAATTACTCCAGAAGTGCCGGACTGGTTCCCTGAAAGAGGAAGCGTCTGCCCAGGAAGTTTGGATTGTTGTTTACTAAGGGCTGGAGGGCCCACAGTCTGGCCACGGAGGGTGCCATTGAAATACATGAGAGGTGGCTGAGCTAGGCTGTTTACCTGGGCTGCCGAGGTGGCAACAGGAGCGCTGCTGAAGATCGACGCAGCTGAGCTTGCTGGGGTGGCGTCCATCTTGGTCATCTGTCCCGACTGGCCCTGCAGGTGCTGTAACAGGCTTCGAGTGCAACTTGGGTCCTGAACCGGATGGGATGTTCTAATGCTATGAGAAGCCATGGGCTGAAAGAGTCCGGTGAAGGCTTCCCCCGCGGCGTGAGGGTTGCCATTTTCACACTGGCGGCTCTCAGGGAGTTCAGAGACAGGGTGAAGCTCTGCCCCACGGACCATGAGCTTCTGAATGGCCGGACAAAGCTGCTTCTCCGCTGTGGGTGAATGTCTACTGGGCTCTTCGTAAGACAGAGAGCGCACAACTCCTTGCCTCAGGGGAAAGTTCTCTTGGTACTGTTTCTGTGAATGCTCTGAGGCATCTTGGTATGTGTTGGGTTTTTCTTGCTTCCCAAAGAGTGTGGTTAGGGATAAGTGCTGTGGTTCGGGGTCTATGTTCTGGGGGAGGAGGAGGAAGAGAAAACAATACAAAATTAATCAGAATGCCATTTTAAGTCACAATAAAGGCAGAACAGCATAAAGGTAAAGGTTAGAATACCATTTCTCCTAGAAGGATCTCTAAAAGTTTCCTCATGTGGAAAAACAAGAGTGGAAGCACTCAGAGCTGAACTTCCCAATGAAGGGTGATCTCTTTAAAGCAAAGAATTAGCAGTGCCACAGTCTTTTAATTGGTAATGGGAATAGAGGACTAGAATCCTGGCCAGGGGAAAAGCAGTGAGTAGGAGAAGGGTGATACTGTAGAAAAACAGGGATAGGCAAATGGCATCTGCTTCCAGCCTTACTGTACATACATAATCAATCCAAGAATATGAAATCAAAGAAGAAACTCCTCAGGTATGAAAACATACTTAAATGAGAATGATGGTTTGGGAATGCACTGTATTGAATCTAATGTTTTAGCTAAATTTAAGCTCACAGGAAGGAGGAGGAGGAGGAGAGGAGAGGAGAGGAGGAGATTGGATTTATACCCTGCCTTTCACTACCCAAAGGTGTCTCAGAGCGGCTTACAAACTCCTTTCCCTTCCCCTCCCCACAACAGACACCCTGTGAGGTAGGTGGGGCTGAGAGAGCTCTTGACAGAAACTGTTCTTTTTTCAAGAACAGCTCTTATCAGAACTATGGCTTGCCCAAGGTCATCCAGCCAGGTGCAAGTGGAGGTGTGGGGAATCAAACCCAGTTCTCCCAGATTAGAGCCCACACAATTAACCACTACACCAATCTGGAAGAAGAAACAAGAAGTGGAAGAAACAAGAAGTGTTCAAACTGTTTAAAAGCTCAAGTCTAGCACAGAGTTAGGCATGCCAAAACCCACTGATTTCAATGACCTGAACCATGGTATGTTTTGACTGGAGAGGAGATGACTGAGAGGTGATATAATAACCATCTTCACATACTTGAAGGGCTGTCATATAGAGGATGGTACAGAGTTGTTTTCTGTTGCCCCAAAGGTTGGACCAGAACCAATGGGTTGAAATTAAATCAAAAGAGTTTTTGGCTACATTAAATCAAAAGAGTTTTGGGCTACATTAGGAAGAACTTCCTGACAGTTAGAGTGGTTCCTCAGTGGAACAGGCTTCCTCGGGAGGTGGTGGGCTCACCTTCTTTGGAGGTTTTTAAACAAAGGCTAGATGGCCATCTGACAGCAATCCTGATTCTGTGAATTTAGGAAGATTATGAGAGGGAGGGCAGGAAGGGTTGCCTCAGTGCTTAGTTCTTGTGGCCCTTTGTTACACGCCCAGGGAAATGTTGATCACCACTTTGGGGTCAGGAAGCAACTTTTCTCCAGGCCAATTTGGCTGGGGATCCTGGAGGGTTCTTTTTTCTGCCATCTTCTGGGTGTGTGTGTGTGTGTGGGGGGGTATTTGTGAATTTCCTGCATTGTGCAGAGGGTTGGACTAGATGATCCTGGAGGTCCCTTGCAACATTATGATTCTTTGATTCTTATGATCAATTGTGACCTAAATTAATAAGGAGTACATAGGAGTATGGGGGACTGCTTTACAATGGTTTTCCCCCTTTCTCCATGGTCAGGGACAGAGGGTAGCACTTGGCAAGAGGGTATCCCTGCGATACCCACTGGAATGTGGAGTGCTGCAGGGGGCAATCCTCTCACCAATGTTGTTTAACATCTACAATGCACCCCCTTGCCCAGTTGGGCTGGGGGGCTGGGCTGGGTTGCAACCAGTAGGCTGATGACACCCAGCTCTATCTGTTGTTGGACGGCTGCTCGGACTCCACCCCAGAGAGTTTGGACAGGGCTTTGGAGGCTGTGGCTGGGTGGCTATGGAAGAGTCGGCCGAAGCTAAATCCAACAAAGGTCCTATACCTGAGCCGGGGTAGTGGTTAGATTCGGGAATCAGACTTCCTGCCTTAGTTGGGGCACTGTTGGTCGTGGCCCAGAAGGTGACTCGCCTTGGGGTGATTTTAGATGCCTCACTTTCTATGGAGGCCCAAAGTCACCACGGTTGCCAGGTCAGCCTTTTATCATATCCGGCAGATCAGGCAACTGGTTCCCTGTCACTCCCCCAGGACTTGGCTACAGTGAACTATGCAATGGTTACTTCCAGACTTTATTACTGTAACTCGCTTTATGCAGGCTTGCCCTTGAAGCTAATCCACAAACTGCAGCTAGTGCGAAATGCGGTTGCGCGCCTGCTGACAGCGATGTCTGTGCGTGTACGTATTCAGGCAGTGCTACGCCAACTGCACTGGCTACTGACTGAGTACTGGATCCACTTCAAGGTGTTGGGACTGACCTTTCAAGCCCTATGCAGCCTGGGATCAACGTATCTAAGTGACTGCCTCTCCCTATATGTGCCCTGGCAGAGCCTTGTGCTTGGTGGACCATCATTTACTGGTTGTCCCCGGCCCAAAGGGCATCCGCTCAGCCTCCACCAGGGCCAGGGCCTTCTCTGCCCTGGCCCCAGCCTGGTGGAACATGCTCCCGTCTGAGATCAGGGCCTTGCAGGACCTGTTACAGTTTTCAGGACCTGTAAAATGGAGCTGTTCTGTCAGGTCTTTGGTTGAGGTGGCAGGCACCTAATCATCTGGCCTCCTCTGCTGAAGCTTTTAACTGCCCGTACTGATGAGACCTTTACTGTTTTGATTATGGCCTAGTTGCACCCTGCCATTTAGGGCTGTCAATTTTATTAACTTTTTGTAGTACCTGCCTTTTAATTGTTTTAATGGCTTTGTAAATTACTGTTGTGACCCACCCCGAGCCTGCTTGCGTGCCGGGGGGGGGGGGCTGGATAGAAACAGAAATAAATAAATAAGAAGCTTAAATTTAATTCAGATTTTGTCATAAACGACTGCTTGCTTATGCACGGGATGCTACTATATAGCATGGCTCCCTGGGGAATGTTCTCGAACAATTAGCACAGGTCTCTATCCCCTTCTTTTGGTGTGAGTAGCTTCTCTTTCAGACTGATATGTGGCTTTTGTATAACTTATTTTTATTATATTTTGTTTAATGTAAATTTAGTATCTATCTATATACAGGGTGGAGGAAGGGGGAGGGAGCCAAAAGCTCAAGATGTGACCCTTTGTGTCTGAATATAGGAACACTTACCCACCTGTTTGCAAATATCTCCTACCAAATGAACATGACAATACATAACGGGTTATGAAGCCTCATTTGAACAGCTAGATAGCGTCTTTGCACAGATGGAGAGAAAGTGCTCTGTTTTGGTTCCTAAAACATTGCAGGGGTGGTTTGACTTCAGTATCATGTGGTCTGCTTTTTAAAGCAATGTTGCTAGGATTTCTGTAATTCAGTGATACCTTTTAACTTTATTAAGCAAAAGCGCATGCTCGGGAGGATCTCTTCATAGTTAATTCATAACTGTATGTGTTAAGTAATTCCAAACATGTGTTCTTCTTTAAAGAACATACCGTACATCTTGCTGGGTCAGACTGAGCTCCGCCTTGTCTAGAAGTCCTTGCTATAATCCCAGAAGGCAGGAGGTGCTGGGCAGTCTACTGGAGACTGACTTTTGGTTCAGTGGGCTACCACAATCTTCTGCTAACAACTGATACATAACATTGTATACGGTTTCTTGAACTGCATATTTGACTTTTTGCCTCTAACTTCTCACACGTGGCAGCTCTGAACCTGTTGTGTGATGATTCTGAATTTACCCTTCGAAAAGAACAGCAAAGCCCATTAAAGGACACTTTTTAAAAATAAACCCCTTGATGTCACCACAGGGAACAGAGAGTCACCAGAAGCAACATGTGCTTGTATTAATTTTTTGAATTTCATGCCTATAAATCACACTCAGATAGTATTCATGAATTTTAAGTCCAGTAATGTGAATGGTAACATGTCATCAGGCCTGTAGCCAGGATTGTTTAATTCGGGGGACCTTTAAAGACGTCGGGGGGCTGTTAAAGATAGGACATTTTGGAGGTAATTAATTCACAGCAGCTTCATAAGTCAGAAACAACTTTATGGCATTTAACACCTGCATGCATGGCTAAGATCATAGCTTTTAATTCTCATTAGTTCAGTTGAGTCCCACAATCCTAGCTTATCAAATAGACATTATTTTCTATTGATCATATGTTGTAGAGTATTAAAAATATGTTATTTTAATATTAATATGAAATAAGGCAGTCTCATTTCCATTCAGATTAATCTCAACTGATACCTTATGCCATTCAACTTAGTAACATTCCACAGCATATTAAGAAAAATAAATATGCAACTGTCACCCTATTTGCTGTGACTATCCAGACATATTCCCTTGAAGATTGAATTTCTGTTACATTACTAGGCTTTTCGTAGCAAGAGATGTGGGGGGAAAGTGATTATTTTATTCATTTTACAAAACTTAAACCTCCCCCAAGGCAGCTAATAAATTAGAAAGATACATAATAAAACCACATCTTAAAAGTCACGAAAACCAACAAAAAGCACACCATTAAAACAATTCAAACCAGAGCTAGAATATACAAAAAAACATAAAAAGTAATAATTGAAACACTGAGCAGGAAGGAGGGATCACTGAGGTAATGCCAAATGAAACAAAAAAAGCTTCACCAACTGGCAGAATATGGTAATAGGAGACAGATGAGCCTCCCCAGAAAGAGAGTTCCAGAGTTTTGGTGCCACAACAGAGAAGGCCCTCAGCTGGGTTGCAATCTGCTTAATCTCAGAAGGTGAAAGCACCCAAAACAGGGCCTTGGAAGATGGCGACAGAAATCAGGTATGTTCCTGAGCCCGCATGCGGGCTAAGGCGGGATATAATCCGCAAATAAATAAATAAAGCCGGAGGCGATCCTTCAGGTATGTTGGTCCCAAGCCCTATAAGGGCTTTAAAGATCAACACCAGCACCTTGAATTGTGCCCCAAAACAGAGCGGGAGCCAGAGTAGATGGGCCAAGACGGGACTGGTATGGTCCCTACCACACACTCTAGTCAACATCCCGGCAGCAGCATTCTGCACTGGTTGAAGTTTCCAAACATTTTTCAAGGGCAGCCCCACATACAGCACATTGCAAAAAAAATTATTTGTCCACTGTATGAAATACAGTTGCTGCAGATTCATGAGTATCACGGGCACCTGACTGTTCTGTCATCCTAATGACCACTGATTTACTTAATTCATTAATGAGAATTTAAGTCTTTCTCCCCTATGGGGACCCAAAACAGGTTAACACCTGTCTCCTCTCCTCCATTTTAACCCTCACAACAACCCTGTGAGGTAGGTTAGGCTGAGAGAGTGTGACTGACCCGAGGTCACCCAGTGAGCTTCCATGGCACAAGTGGAGATTAAAACCCGGGTCTCCCAGATACTGGTCCGACACTACACCACACTGGCTCTCATGCCATTTTATGAACTGTTATGATATATATGGGTTTGGCGCTTGAAGCAGCAATCCTGCACTGAAATTCCCCACCCCATTCTGCCCATAAAGTTATGGAATGAAAATGACATCATCATGGCATGTGTCCCCCTGCAACCCACCCCTTACCTTAATCTGAAGTAGACATCAGGGAAAATACACACTGTGATGACAATCAAAATATTCCCCTCCATAACTACACATTCTGGGCCCAGGAGTGGGAATTAAAATACCTAATTCCATCCAAGAGGAGAGATCTGGAATGGTCTTTTCTGATTTTTCATTATTAGTGTTATTAGTTTCATTTATAGCCCGGCTTTCTCACCAAGCCACAAATCAGACCAGTCTTCTAGGCCAACAGGAGCATCAGTCAGGCATGCACATGCAAACAGTGTACCTGGACTTGCTGAGGTAAGCATTGGTGCTGCGTATCACTGGGCTTCACTGGGATTGGTTTGATCAAGTTGGGGTTGTCGTATATAGCAGAAGAGCTGGTTATCTGTTTCGGCTCCGAGCACGTCTTACACTGCAATGTGCACGTACACACAAATAACATTTTAGATTAAAAAACAATTGAGGGGGTGGATAAAAGCAACAGTTCCTTCCTAGTATGCTACCACCATTAAAAAATACAGTTAAACTCAAGAAAAGAACAAATTGACCTAGGGGAGGGTCACATTGGACAAAGACAGAGAGTGGGGAAATGGCAAAAAGCTCAGTTACTTTACTGGGTTCCCACTCCCAACTGCACTCCTCTAGAGAGTTCATCCCAGAGCTTGCTTAGGTTGTTGCTCCTCTGTATGGCTGCCCAAGAAATATGTTGTGCTATGGGTAATAACTGAAGCCTGGTCAAAGGTAGCAGAACGCTCAAGAACTCGCTTGCATGGTGGAAAGTGCTGTCAAGTCACAGATGACTTATGGTGACCCCCCTTGGGGTTTTCAAGGCAAGAGATGTTCACAGCTGGTTTGCCATTGCCTGCCTCAGCATAGACTTCCTTGGTAGTAGGGTCCCCAGGTCTGCCCAGGAGAGTGGCGGGGGATGTGGGGTAGGGTTGCCAGATCAAGCTTAGGAAACTCCTGGAGATCTGGGGATGGAGCCTGAGGAGGACAAGGACCTCGGTGGGGCACAGTGCCACAGAGTCCACCCTCCAAAGTATCCGTTTTCTCCAGGGGAACTGATCTCTGTAGTCTGGAGATGAGCTGTAATTCCAGGGGATCCCACACCTGGAGGCTGGCATCCATACTTGGTGGTCTCCCATACAAGCTCTACCCAGGGCCAACCCAGGATAGCCTCGGTGGCCGCTTCAATTATAGCAAGCCTTGCGTTTTCAGAATAGGCGCTGGGCATGAAGAGGTAACGGTTATTTGTCAGAGGACACAAGGAGAGGTCACAAAGCCCATTACTTTCACATCTGACTGTTCTCCATACTGGAACAAGCAAATACTGAGGAGGACGGTCAAAGACATCTTAGTTACAAGTGTTAATCTATTGATCATTAAACAACTGCCTTTGCTTATGAATCAGGTGATCATTCAGAAGAAAAAAGCATGCTTTCTTTATTGTCAGATGTTGCAACAGACTCTTTATCTCAGAAGAGGAATCCCCTCCTGTCAGCAGAGCTGCTGAGAACATCCAGGATCTCTCTCTCCCCCCCAAAGATTCTCTCTGGGTCTACCTCACGGCTCAGACTCAACCCAAACAACATACAGAAATAAATGACCTGCCTAGCTTTGTGTGTTGCCCGGATGATGGCGGCCCTCAGACGTTTGTCCCCCTGCCCTCTGCAGCCCTGTCTGTGAGAACGGAGGAAACATCCTCTTCTGGAATGTTGCCTGCCACCCATGGATTTCCAATTACTCACACTAAAATAATTTTTTTAACTGTTGAATTTAATACAATCTGTTAAACATTTTTAAACAATGACCAACGAAATGCCGTTTCATGACACTTCTTGTTGTGGTCCCAAAGTCAGGCCCAAAAGGTCCAGGGTACAATCCCAGACCCTAGAAAGTTCACTGTTAACATTTTCTGCACATAGTACACAACCAACTGGAAACCCAGTGCAATCCTAAATACTGTCTACACCTTTCTGTGTCCACTGACTTAAATGGACTTAGAAGGGTATCACTCTAGGATTGTACTGATAACGTTGTAAAGTTGTTTCACTAAGTAACCGGATGTGCCTGCAGCCTACGAACATCTGGTTTTGTCTTTTATTCATGTACCTGACTCCCACACACTGTTCTTATTCATTACAAAGTTTGGGTCCAGTGGCACCTTTAAGACCAACAAAGTTTTATTCAAGGTATGAGCTTTCCTGTGCATACACACTTCTTATCGGAAGAAGTGTGCTTGCACACGAAAGCTTATACCTTGAGTAAAACTTTGTTGGTCTTAAAGGTGCCACTGGACCCAAACTTTGTTCTGCTGCTTCAGGCCAACACGGCTACCTAACTGAATCTGTTCTTATTAATGTTTATGTTGCAACAAACCTTTATTAAAGTACTTGGTCTAGAGTCTCTGAATGGTGAAAGATGCACAGTGGGGCCCTAGTACATTAGGAAGCACAGATCACCCTGAATAAAAATAATAATCTATTCACCCACTTCTGTCTTTTTCAACTGAGTCCACAAAAGCAAGCAATAATTTTAGGCTGGGTATAACTGAGTGAAGCTTGCTGCTCAGAGGAAAGAAGGGATGTCAGTGGCAAAACAGGCTGCTGGAGATCACGCCTGATTTTTTCACTGTGCATTTGGAAGGGGAAGAGCTTTTTCTCAGCCTCACTTCTATCAGACCTGTTGGGAAAAAACTGAATGGAATTATTATGGCCAGCCGTGCACTCAGCCTGCTTCACACTTTATTCCGGTGCAAAATAAGAGTCTTGGCCCCCACCGCTTCCTCCCAGCACATGCTGAGCACTTGGGGATGGGACTTCTCTCCTTGCTGGGCTTGAAGAAAGACAGAAGTAGAGCATCTCTCACTGCTTCTGAGCTTCCCAATGCCTGGTGCAAAGGACACAATATCCATTTCAGGCCAGGCAGTGGGGGAAGTCAGAAGTGGTGAGAGAGGCTTCTCCTGTCTCCCTTGCCTCCTTCTGCCTTTCGCCCTCCTTTCCTTTCCTCCTAGCTTCCTGTTCTTGCTAATAATCTAGGCCCGGCTCCTCCTTTCTGCCATTATGTTGCAACTTGCAGCATCCATATGCAGCCTTGTGCTGTCATCCCGCCATGCTCTCAGGCTGTAATGGAGGGTACCATGACTGGGAAGCCCAGCAACTGGACACAAATGCTAAGACCCATGGCTGTCTGGCTAATGCCAGACAGAGCTGCTATCCCAGGTCATATGGAACACTGGATCATATGGTCATATGGAACACTGGATCCACTATGGATGCCAAGTGGCCAACTGTCATAGTGACAGAGGAGCAAAAGGTTTATATGATATGAAGAGACACCAGAGGATAATTGTTGGTATTGTAACTCACAGGATACGTCCTTTAAAACTTATGTTTTGGGCATGTCCACTCATATGTTTTTTTCTTGGAAGAAGTTATTACTCAGATCCAGGCCTCAGATGGGGCCGGAGTCGCCGGTACGGCGCACCGGGGGGCAGGGCGGTCACATGGCAAAGCCCCGCCCCTTCTTCTGACCGCCCTCTGCACTGCCTGGGGGTCATGTTGCCACCCCTGGGAGCTCGGCCTGGGAGCACCACGGGGGAGGTGCCCCCGCCGATGTCTCTTCACTGTCTCTGGCTGCCGATGAGCCCGTTCAGTTGCCGCCAAGCCCGCCCGGCGCTCCAGCCTTGAAGGCGCACAGGCTGGGCCACCAATTGGGCACCCGAAGAGGAGGAGGAGCCAGCGAGGAAGGGTGAGCGAAGTTTCAGGGCTGGGAGGGGTGTTCACCTTTCTTCTCAGCCCCTGCTGCCGAAGGAGGAGGAGGAGGAGAAGGCGCTGCCGCCCAGCGGCCAGTCCCCCTCTCCTGGGCCCAGTGGGTGGCCCTGATCCTGGCATGGGCCAGGGGCTTGAGCCGTGCGAGGCCAGCACCGCTGCCGGCGAGAGAGGTCGAGGAGCGCGACTTCCCCACCAGCCCGAGGCCGCCTCGGCTGTCTGGCACTCGGGTGCCTGCCTGCTGAGTTCTTCCCGCCTTCCGGAATCTGGATGCTTTCCCGGCAGTCCCGCTTCGCTACCTCCCCCACGGCGGCCATCGGCTCGGGAGGCCGCGGGGATGGATGCGCCGTCTCTGTCTGCTGGGCCGAGGGGAGGGGATCTGCAGCCCGGATGCCCCCCCAGGCTGCCGGAGGCTGCCGGGGCCTGGGCTTTCTTGCTCGGTCGGGTCTGCAGGGGAATCGCCGCCCCTTCTTTCGGGCTCTCCAGAGGCGGGCGGCGGGATCTCTCGGTGCTTCCCAGGGACCACCGCGCCTCTGCCTCGCCAACTCGGCCCCGCCGCACCTCTTCTTCCTGCGGGGGGCTGCAGGGGGGAGGGGAATGTGTGTGCGGCTTGTTCGGGGGGGCTCCGTCCTGCTGCTGCAGACTTCAGGGCAGGCATCCCCCGGCCCGGCCATCCCCTCATCCCACGGAGGGAAGAGGCAGCTCCGCGGGTGTGGTGCTGGTGGGAAAGGTCTTTCTTTCTTTCTTTCTTTCTTTCTCTTTCTTTCTCTCTCTCTCCCTCTTCCCCCCTTCTCCCTTTCTTTCTCCCTTTCTCTCTCTCTCTCTCTCCCTCCCTTCCTCCCTCTGTGGCTGTTTTGATAAGACGCATAAACATGCCAAAGGGGACCAAGTGCCAGAAAATGATGGGCTGGGGCTGGGGGTGGGTTTCTCCACTGTTGCCACCCAAGGCAGTTCTAGGAAACGCCATCACTATCTCACTCAGAGGCCTGCTGCAGTTGTCTGGTGACAAACCAACTCATTTTTGATCACTGCAGCGCCTGGTGATAAATCTATCTATGTAGCAAGTTTTGACCCCACCTGTTTTGAAGGGGCTCAGGAGTTTCATTAGTACCCCACTTCTCTTCCCAGTGGGGACCCAGAGCAGGTGACAACACTGCCCCTCCCTCCATTTTATCCTCAGGAAAGCAGATCTGCAGTTGTCTTAGGCCAGAGGCTCAGAGCAAGATTTTATTTAAAGGAGGCTTCTGGCTTTTACTGCAAAGAACAGTCCCTTGTCTCTTCCTCTGTCTCTCTGCCTATCTGTGCACATTGATAACCCTGCTTTTCTTCCAAATGGAGACTCCTCCAGAAGGCTTATGTCAGGGGGTGTGGCCTCATGACACACTTCCGGTGATGTCAGGGGGTGTGGCATATGCTAATGAGTTATGCTAATGAGCTCCTGCAGCTCTTTTTCTACAAAAAGACCCCTGCCAGATCAATTTTATATTAGAATGTTCATTGATGTTTGAGGATGCTTTATGTATTTTTAAACTCTTGGAGGCTAAACAATTGTCAACAAAAATGGACCCTCCAAGCTCTTACTACAGCTAAAAGACTTGCCTTAAACACTGGAAAGATAAAAGCCCGCCTCTGGTAAATTGAGGACCTTAGAACTCTATCAATATTTGAATGCATGGCATATGGACAGCAATTGCATATGGGCTTATTGGAAACCACTTTTAGAAACTTGTGTGTATCAACTCCTACTGTTGATACATTTTTGTCTTTATGTATATCCTTTCCCCCCTTTCTTTTAAAAACTTTATTTAGTGGCTCTATTTTAAGTTTTTTTCCTTGTTCTTTTTCCCCTGTGTTTTAAAAAAAGAAATTTAAAAAACCAACAGTGAAAGGACAGCGAGGCACTGCCCCAAGAGCCAATAATGACCCATAAACTTGGCCTATGGAACTATACTCTCAGATAGGGTTTCACAGTTCAGTGTTTTTTCTTGCTAACGTCAAGTGACAAAAAATGAGAAGAGAGAATAAGCAGGACAGACAAGCTGATCCCTGCACAATAAGCCTTGATTCATAGAATGGTAGAATATTAGACGGCTATTTTGAGAAGCCCATTGGCCCTGAAGCACATGGCATCTGATGGAAAGGCGATTGTAACAGGTGTGGCCTCCGCTTGGTTTAGTGTACATGACCTCCAGCATTAAGGGACAGCAGTTCCTTTTTTCTCATACTGCTCCTGGAGAGAAAATGTTCCGTGACGTGATATTTCCTTGGCAACCAATTATGATAAGGAAATATAGGTGGGGGACCTAGGCAGAAGGAGTGGACTGACTCATCCTTCAAATATATTATTTGCAAACAAATTTATTTAGTAATAGGGACAGAAGAAAGCAGGTTGCTTGATTACGTGCATGTTCTTCCGTACGATAAGCCATATCATAAAAATGGAGATAACTAAGCCTCTCTGTAATGCAGCTATCAATCACTTAATTATTTGAGGAGACATCAGTAATCTTGTAGATTTTCTATAGCCTATGATTCATGGGTCTTTCAACAGTGGCTACTCGAACTAGTTATATGGATTTTGATACGAATTAAACAGCACACAGCAGTTGCTGCTCTAATTCATTGTGTTAGGCTTTTTCCAGTTCGAGTCAGACAGAATGGGAAACCATGGTTTGCTAGCACAAGAATAAGACTAGAAGAACTTGGGTTCCTTAGATGATCCCTGCTTCCTCTTCTTCCCCTCGAATGTCTACATGATTGTTACCTATCTGTGGGAAAACAGTTTCCTGTTTCACACTCTCCGGGTCTGTGCCAGGACTTATATTTAATGATTAGAATGTATAGAGTGACTAAAATGTAAATGAATCAACAACCCTAATTCTAAACCTGGATTAAATTGAGACCTAGGTTTCCTGTCTCATTATCCATGCTGATTTCTCCATGCCCACTACCCCTCTGCTTATCTCACCTAAATCCAATCACGCCTGCTATTTGTTATTCACCTGCTATTGTCATTTGCCTGCCATGTCTGTCATCTGAAATCACTCCACTTTCCAATAAATAGGACAGATGGACTCCCATTCTAGCTGTATCTGAAGACGTGAGCAGTGACTCACGAAAGCTCCTACCCTGCCACATATTTTGTTACGTCTTTAAGGCGCTACTGGACTCTGGCTCTTTTCCACTGCTAAAGACAGACGATTGTTCATTATATTTTACACTGTCCTCACTATGAACCCATTCAAAATAAACAGTTGAACCAGTTCCTTACAAATTTTCCTGGTTCAGAGGAAGACTGTATTAAATTTTTGTTGGCTGATGCTATCCCAGATGTTACTCTTAAGGCGGCTACTTTTATTTTCCTGCGATCAAATATAATCGGCTGCTCCTACAAGAATTTTAGCCAAATTATAATTTGTTCACATTTTAAAGTTCAGTTCTTTTATTGTACCAATTATTATTATATGTGTTTTAAATTCTGTTTATTTTGCTATGCTGGAATGTTTTCATTCTCTGTCTAGATGTGAATAGTGTGTAGGGGATTATTTGTTGGTTTGTTATGGCCTATTTTTGACTTGACTTTTACAGGCAGATTAACATGGCTACCCATCTTGATGTAACCCTAATTCTTATAAAGTACAGAATTTCTTTTTAGCAGGTACAATCCATTTCCAAATGAACGGTGCTGGGTTACAAGCACTGTATAGAACCATAAAGCCTGAAGGACCAAAAAGGTCACCATTTTCAAATCGCCTAGTTCAGACCTCTGCTTTTTAGCAGTTGCCCACCATACTTCTCACTGGGCTGAAAAGCCTATCATGGAAATGGGACTCATGCATCCTCACTTCAGGTGGACATACATTTCTCCCCCAGCACCCATCGCAATGCACAGTAGAGGCATAAATGTGAAACCTGCAACGAACACTAAATGAAAGTTGTTTGGGGTGCGCGTTGAAATGCATGTCCCACTAGTGCGTAATGTCACCGAGGTAGGGTAGGCAGCTCTCCCCGTGTCCACCTCGTGGTAACTGAGACTTGTTCTGGGATTTCCGATATCAATGTAACAAAGTCCAATAAAGGCAGGAGAAAAGGGCTGGGACATAAAAAGATGCTTTACAGCAAGACCGCAATCCATAGCATTTATCATATTTTTGCCAAAGACTGATACTACTAGAATACACAGGAAGCTACTGAATGGGACTGCTGATTCTATTGCCTAGTTCTCACAAACTGAACATTTGTCAATGGCATCACTTCAGAAGACAGGAGGCCCTTCCAGCTTTTGCTGTTTTGTTAACCATCCTGAGTTTGAGAGATAAGGCAGGGTAGAAATATTTTAAATAAATGACATTCTATGCTGCATGCTATATTGGTTTCTTTTGTTTGGATTGATTTTCTTTATTTCTTTATACACAGAGTGATTAAAATGTGGAATTCGTTGCCAGAGGATGTTGTGATGGCCACAGGAAAAAACAACTTTAGAAAAGGATTAGACACATTTATGGAGGATAGGTCTAGCAGTGGCTACTAGCCATGGTGACTAAATGGAACCTCCATGTTCAGAGGCAGTAACCCTCTGAACACCAGTGCCTGAAGGGAACATCAGAGGAAGGCCTCAGCCTCTATGCCCCATTGTTGAACCACCAGAAGAACTGGTTGGCTGCTGTGCGAGACAGGATGCTGGACTAGATGGACCACTGGTCTGATCCAGCACTACTCTTCTTATTTTCTTATGTAATAGCATTCTTCTTTCCCCCTATAGAATTGATCCTATGCAGGGATGAATCTTTCGTATATTCTAGTTAATCTCCTTTCTTCAACATACTGGCATAAGATTAGGAGTGAACCTCACAATGGTCTTTACTAGGACAATTTCTCTTAACACATACAAGATGCCTCTTTACATGCCTCAGATGATGGCTGATGTAACACTGTACAGAATTCCTTTCCATTGATTTAACATCATCAGCTAGCTTTTTACCTTGTTTAACACCGGTGTCATTCGCCAAAACATTCTTGTGTATTTAGCAAATCCTTGAAATACCACACAGATATCATCAAAAATGTATAACGTAATACTATACAATGTGTTAGATCCCACACTACTGTGAACACAGACTGGTTGCGGTTGGAAACGGAATGCAGGAACAGATGAGGTTTGCTTTGATCCCATAAGACACTTCTGACATTCTGATAAAAGGAAATCCACACACACAGCTGGCCTTCTTGCTGCCTATCTAAAACCACAGCTGTGCCTTCACATCTGTACTGCAACCCCATAAACTTTTAAAATTCCCCCCAAAAGCTATTAGCAATGCTGTACACAAGGATGCGGTCTGGGAATGGTGGAAAATGGTTTCCCAAAGGATGCTCCATTCCACCCTCCCAAGCAAAGTGGGGAGGAAGAGATAGGGCTTGGCCGCTGGCTGGCGAGAAGGGAGAGCCAGCCAAGAATCACACCAGGGGCCTGACACAGGACATACAGGCGGCAACTGGAAGGGGCATATATGGACCTACTTCAGGCTAGCCCTCCATCTCTGACCACAGCAAATGGAGGAGGCACCCACCCTCCCTCCTTCCATTTCAGAGCAGGTGCAAGCTGGTCAACCCTTTGGGTGCCGGGTAGGATTTTTTGCCCCTCCGGAGCAATTGGTAGCAAGTTGGGTGTTTTGTTCACCGACTCTACTCTGAAAGTGATATAGGTGGCTGGTGGGAGCAGGCACTGCGGGAAAATGCTACTTTAATGGTACACAGTACATCAGGCATCAGTTTGGAAGAGGAAGAGTTAACTCTCAGACCAGAAGCCTGGGGCCTCGGGGCCTTCATGGACCTGAGACAGGAGCCCCTTGAAAGTTGCCACTATCCTTGGCCCACAGAGCTCACTGCTAGGGGGACTGGACATGGCACACCTCCCTTGAGCACTGAAGAAGGCTCGGCAAGGAAGAGCATGAACTACCCACATAATGGCTCAGGACTTGGAGCCAGGGTAGCCCTTCCTGTAAGATCAGGGATGCACACATTAGAGGAGGCCTGACTCTTCTGCATACCACCAATTGCCCACACTGCAATTAGCCCTGGGGATGGTTGTTTTGGCCTGTGTGCACTGCAGATCCCTCTTGAGCAATGAAAATAACGTTGGCCCTTTGATTATCCCAGCTTATGGTGTCAGCTCTCCTCATTCCATGTCCATCCGCGGACAACACCAGGTTCTCTGAATTGGTGTCATCACTTGTGTGATATTCAAACAAGGTAGTTGACATTTTACACAGCTGTACACTAAGCCATCATTGGGGCTTATGCAGTAAAAAGGCCAAAAGCTGAAAACAGAAAGCACGGAATCGTTTTACACCGACAAAGCCTCACCTTGGTATATTCATCTTTGGCTTTGGTGAGCATCCGTAAGATATCCACCTCCTTGCTTTCACCCAAATTCAAGCTTACTGGGGAAATTCCTATGCCAGTCCCCTGCTGTGCTTTTAGCTGCTCTTGCTGAGTTAAACTAGAAATGAGGGGTAAAGGAAGAAAAAGAGTAAAAAACAAACAAACCAAGAGTTAACTCACAATTACTTCAAAGCATTTAGGACATTAAGAAGGGCTTCAGGTTTCCTCTCCCTCCATCTCTCTTGTTCCATCTTATATTAAAAACTAAGGTTCGATTAACATTGATAATGTGTTGTCTCCAATTCTGCGCACGCTGGGCCATTAAGGACTTGATTTTCCCTAACTCAGGCGCAGCGCCTATGGCCAGAAGGAACATTAAATTGTAGCTCATTTTATGCTGGAGTGGGGGGAATGGTGGCGTGTGCACACACACACAAATAAGTTTTTAACTGCTAGTAAATGACCAATTTCCCGCCCCAGCTGTTTTATAATTACTGCAAACTGCTGTGAATTCTAACACACACAGACACTTGGCTGAACAACAGTGTAGTTTTAACCAGATGAAATGCTGTTATTATAATCCATTAAACACGGTTTACAGTAGCAACCATCTTCTGCAAACTAGTCTTTACTGAACTAAATTAGCAGTCTGAAAGAAGTTTAATCACCAGCAACTGCAGGGTGAGCTGGTTTAAATAAAAACTGTCAAGAACACAGGCTTCTTAGAGATGGCATCTCTTTTCTTTGTAAAGTTTTGTAGAAAATACATCGTGGTCCCAATGTATCATTCACTGCAACAAAGGACTGCTATTATATTGTCTATATAAGGCAATCCCCCTCCTTGGAACTCATCATAGTGGTCAAAGCAGAGATGGTGGAGTAAATGAAGACTCTGGATATTATTCTCATCCATGCAAACTGGCAGAACGTTCATGACAGATGAAAGGAAGCAGCAGTTCACATCATTACTAAATTCTTGCTGTAATGATCTTGCTGTAGTGATAGCCGCTAAGTGCAGTGTTCCCTCTAAGCTGAGTTAGTGTGAGCTAGCTCACAGTTTTTTAGCCTCCAGTTCACAGATTTTTGTCTTAGCTCAGGAAGGATGGCTCCATAGTAAACTAATTTATGCAGTAGCCAAATTGCTTGCTCACAACTTTAATTGCTCACACAGAAAAATTTTTGCTTAGAAGACTCCACAGCTTAGAGGGAGCGTTGGTTAAGCGTGGATTGTTTTTTAAAAGAGCTACACGAAATCTTGAAAGAAAGGTCTATGAATGGTTGGTAGACATGATAAATAAAATCTGCAGGTTCAGTGGAAGCATCCCTTTGAATTCTAGATGCTGGAGAGAAACAACGGGAGAGCGCCATTGCTTTTATATCCTGCTTGTAGGATTTCCAAGGCATCTGGCTGGCAACTTGGAAACAGGACGCAGAATTAGATAGATCCTTGGTCTGGTCCAAGGAGGAGATGGCAATTTTTGAAGCAACCTGCGTCTACAACTTGGGGGGGGGGGGTCCTCCTTGCTTCTCAAACCTCATGGAGGTACTGGTACCTGTATGTTTATTGGGAACATAGAATTATAGAGCTGGAAGGGACCTCCAGTGTCATATATAATATTATCCACTAGATTTAAGTTCAGTAGCACCTTAGATACCAACAAGATTTTCAGAGTATAAGCTTTTGAGGGCCAAAGCGCCTTTCGTGCGCTTTGACTCTCAAAAGCTTATACCGCAAAAATCTTGTTGGTCTCTCAGGTGCTACTGGACTTGAATCTAGCTATTCTAGTATAGACCAACATGGCTACCCTCTGAAAAATAGTATTATACATGGTCTTTGTGTTCTCCCATAATGTGGAACAGGCAGTGTAGGGGCGTGCATTCAGCTTTGCCAAATTGAAAACAAAATACCCGAAAAAAACCTTATTGGTATTTTTCAGGTATTTGTTAAATTGAATCAGATTCTCTAATCTGATTCGGCTGGCTGATAAGGTGCTCCCAAATAAAAGCTGATCTTATTTGGCTTTTATTCGGGACCGAATCAGGGAGGGAAGGCATATGTTTCAGTGAAACTGACCAGCTCTGCCTTCCTTTCCTTTCCCCAGGCATCCTGCAGCCAGGGGGCACATGGGGAAGCCAATCTCTGGAGGGAAGGCAGCTGATCTGGGGAGGCAGGCAGGCTGGGTGAAGGAGGGGGCATTTAAACATGCCTCCCCCGGTCTTCCCTTCCTCAGCCACCCAGCTGCTTCCACTGGTCAACTTCACTCCCCAGCTGATCTGTGGGGAGTGAAACTACCAGAAGTAGAGCGGAAGGAAAGGCTCCAGTGCCATTATACTCTATATTTCGCAGTACCATTTTTCCCCAAACCCCAATATCTTACTGATATTGGGATTCTGGAATATCGGTATATATTTTTCCAGTTTGGTTTACCTGAACCTGAAAAATACTGATTTCTTTTTTGTGTACACCCCTAAGGCAGTGTTTTGTGACATGCTTTTCAACCTCACATTGGTTGAATAGGGCTCCCTCTGTTCTTCAAGGAGTGAGGCGATCCAACTTAGCCAAACTGAGGAGAGGAAAGCTGCAGTCTGCTTGAGAAGTGTGGAAGAAGATCACTCAGTGCATAGGAGCATCAGTGATTATGAACACATGAACACTCAGGAAGTATACTGTTCCATCAACGTCAGTACTGTGTAAGACTGTCAGTGGCTCTCCAGGGTCTCAAGTGACAGTCTTTCACATCACCTACCACCAGATCCTTTTAGCTGGAGATGCCAGGGATTGAGCCCAGGACTTTCTGTATGCCACACCATTGAGCCATAGCCCCTCCCCAATCAGCATGGAAGTAGGGGAACTCTGGTTTGCCTGGAGTGACGTTTCTCCTCTCTTTACCAGCAGCAAAGGCTCAATTCCATTCTTTGATCATCCTCCAGGCAGGTTAATACAAAATTCCCTGGCCAATGCCTAGAAAGGGAAGTAAATCTTGGGGTGTCCTCACAGCTCTCACATTGAGATATAACTGGGCAAAAAATAAAGGACAGCTGCTCCGATTTCTATGCTCTGGCAATTTTAACTCCCACATCAAATCCTGGGAATTGTGGGCAGACACATAAACACAGTACATATGCACCACTGCTTTATTCGCTTTTCTCACCTATTAATCTTGCAGCCCAAATCACCTCCATTTCACAAACTGACAATGCATGCAGAGGACAACAGAAAAATAGGACACAATTACAGTAACTGAGTTGTCCGTGGTGGCTTGACTAGACCATGACCCTGCTTGTATCAACCTCACATGGGTGGCAAGTGTGGCTTTCTCTTCCTTTTGCCTGTCCACGTATTTAAACTACCAGAGTTGGTCTATCAGGATAACCACATCCAAAGGGAGTCTGATTGCTGGAACTCCATCTACCTAACCGCATTCAGCATTTCATTTTAACTGTTGCTGCTTTTAAGCAGTTATTCTTCATGTAACTATGGGAACAATGTATTTGGCAATTGTCTTTACCACCCTAACCATCAGCTGTAATTGGTTAACTGTAGTTTTATTAAATGTACCACTTTTTTGACAGATAATATTGAAAATGAGGTTAATTAAATCCTATTTTAGAAAATGTTTGTACTTTTTTTGGAAGCAAGGGAGATCAAAAGCAGATCAACATTAATGCTGAAAAATGTACAATGGATAAAAATCTGCTATTGATCAATATTTGCATTGGACTTCCCTCTCAGTCAAATTATATTAGAAATCAAAAGAAAAGAAGAGCCTCTTCCCCAAGGTAAAATAAATAAAAATCATGGAGACATGCTAAAATACATTTGGAATAAAAGGATATGTTAATTAATTTGCAGATTTAATATTCTCCAAGATATTATCTGGTAATTTCATAATAAAAGGAGATAACATTGAAGAAATCACTATTATAATAGCTCAGTAATATGCATAAAATACACAATACAAAAAATAAAATCTGCCAAGGCTTTCTTTGCCTATTAATACTTACTTTTTCATGAGCTCCGCAATTCTTTGGCATTCTTCCTTATCATAAAACCAAATTCCATAAATGGACACTGAAAATATACATTAAACACAAACCATGAACCATTCTCAGCATGGTGTTATTCTTACCAAAGGAAGGTCAGAGTATTTTGTTTTTTACATTGTGCGGCCTTAAACAGTTACATTTTTACTTTATCTCCTGGTTCTCCAGCAATCATTTCCTACATTTTTAACTTGTTTATTGTACCAGATGCATGAAGTGGAAACTCCAGCCATATATAAACAGGCGACACACACATACACAAAAAGTGGAGTCAAAAGGCCATGAGTTATGAGTTATAGTCTCTGATATTTCTATGCAAAATTCAAAGGCAAACAAGATTGGCACACTCACAGCCTCTGTTTATTGTAACCATGGAAACTATATTATCACCAATTAGAGTTGTTATAAGTGGTCACTTGCGTAGAAAAGTCACACATTGTATTTCTTAGATTTCATGACCTATTAATTCCACTTTCTAGAATTTCCCCCCTTTCCTGTGTGTATACCCACTAACTGAGGCTTCATCAATCTGTGCATCTCTAGCTTACCAAAGTTTATGTTACAAGTTGTTAATGTGCAATGAAGTTCCTTTTTTGTTTTTGAGATAACAGATGAATTCAGCTGCGCCCTCTCAAATTTCCTACACCATTTGGATTAGGATTAGGATTTTCTACACTACAATTTGGATTAGGACTTTCCAATCTGATGCTCCTGAACAGCCCTTTTGATGCACCTTATAGCCACTGGGTTGTCAACCACAGACTGATCAGAAAACTATAATTGGGTAATTAATACTGTAGTCTGAAAAGCCGGTAAATGCCAGATTCTACCAGGATCCACCCCTCATGCACCAACCCTAGTTATGTCACACCCTGGAATTCCAGATTCCTTCCCAGTTCCACCTTGACCAACAAAGTTCTGCTTGCCCTGGTTTTTACCCCATGGCCCCATCCAAGGGTCCTGTCTTTTTGAAGTCAACATCTGGAAACTACATAATTTCTACCTCGGTTGCTACAATCTAGCCTAGAGCTTTTTATGAATAAGCAACCTCTACCTACCTAGCGTTTTAACATTTTAATTATCTATTGTATTAACGAAATGTTGCTTTTATTGTTATCGATGGAGCTTGCGAGAAGGGCGGGCTATAAATATGAAGAAATAAATAAATAAAATGAAGGAGCTGGGGATACTTTCAGAGCACCTGTGTTGTCTGATAGACATATTTTGCCTTCTGTAGGGTCCTTGCAAAGAAAAGCTAGCAGAACAGTATCTTGTATTAAGGGAATGAACCATAGAGCTACAGATCCATAGGATCCAATACACGTTTTTATTATTGGATATTTCTCCAGCTTTTCTGCAGTCCACTGCTGGAAACTGGAGATTGTTCTTGGTGAAACTGAGAATCAGTTAACAGGTCTTTTTAAAGCAGAGTTACATCCTTCAAAGCCCATTGACTTCAATGCACGTAAAAGGGTATAACTCTGCTTAGAATTGCACTGTAACTCTAACCGATGTGCTTGGAACATGTAAAAAAAAAAGTAATCCTCATTTCAACCAGACAAATAGCAGCAATGTTTAAAATGCTTTACCCATTTTTGTAATGCATTTCCTAATAACCTCCACGATTTGATATTACTTGTCTAAATAAAGTATTTAACACAATAGGTTGTAATAGCTCCAGAATTCCTGTATACATAATTCAGAAAGCACTGTTGGTTTAGATTGTGCAAATACGTCTACATTTTATACAGGGGGGGAAAAGGAAATTAAACCTTGAAGTACAGTGAATATTACACAACCCAACAAACCCTAGTCCAGAAACATTTAACAGAGAATCTACTAAAAGGAATAATGACTGTTATTGTAGGACCTAAATTACGAATCTGTATTTGCAAACAGAATGTGGAAATACAGTTCATCCAACCACAGCTTGAAGATACTGTGAATAGTGGCACCAAGGCCCTGATTGCAATCATGTTTACTCAGAGAAAAGTCCATTGAATTCAACAGTTCTTACTCATAAGTGTGAATACAGGTCAGCAGCCTTTGATAGACTCTCATTTTAGGTGCATTCCATAACAAAAATTTGTCAATGCCCAGAGCATAAACACATTCATTACACTGATTCCAATGGGACCTACTCCCACAGAAGAAAGCCCCATGTGTTTACTAGTAATTGTAAATGAAGCATGCAGAGCTTTTGCCTGCTGCACCGCAATACACTGGAGCATGTGCGGAAGTGCGAGTGGTCCTGGCCCGGAAATGGAATCGCTACAGCCGGAAGAAGGGAACCTCAAAGACCGGCACCAGAAAGGATGCCGCCGACTACTGCCCGCAAGAACAAGACAACAACTGAAGATCCACTGCAAAAAGGGTGCCTGGTAGGGTAGTCACCACCCCTATATGTCTGTGGCCCTAGGTTAGATTCTGTAAAATGTGATTAGCACCCTCTGTAAGCCGCCCAGAGACCCTTAGGGGTTAGGGCAGGATAGTAAATCGAATAAATAAATAAATAAATAAATAAATACCTAGCAGTATGGTCAGAGTGGATCTCCAGCCTCCTTATGAACCTCTCAGCTGGGCAGTAAAGAAACACTTTCACACATGCTGTTGGGACTCTCATACCTGCAGGACCACCTCTCCCCCTAACTTTTGCCATGACGGCCTTGCCCATCAGAGCAGAGCCTTCTAACCATACATATCTGCAAAATCAACAATTTCCTCTACATGTGCATTATCTGTTGTGGTCCCCATTTTATGGAATGGCTTGAGTGCCTGATGAGGTCAGGAAGGCTCCCACAAACTGTGCAAAACTGAATTGTTACATATGTAATAGGGCTATACTATAATGAAATGATTTGGAATGATGCTTGAACATAGGGATAGGGAATGTGGACGACATTACTGTGTATAGTATGTACTATCTGTTGATGTATATATGAGCCTACTATGTCTGCATGTCATGTTAATACTTCAGATTTCTGCAATCCTAACCCTATCCCATTGCTCACTGGATGTCCCATCCTGTCTTACACTGTGTAATCCACCTCGCATCTCAGAGGAAAACATGGATTATAAAAAACATAAATTTAAAAAATCTCTACAGAAGAAGTTTTCCCGCAAACCTTCCCCATTTCTCCTTTTTGATGATCTCTGCTGTCACTTAGCTGTACCCACCAATTAACAATGATCACTGATACCTTGTTACCTCCGTGTTTGTTGATCGCGTGCTTTCTTGGATTTTCTCTCTGATGTTTTATCGGTTTTACTCTTGCAAGTTATTTTGAATACTTACTTTAGATACGATGGGAGATAATCTTTCTAGGTATTCTTTATGTAACATATACCATGTACGGTTTCCCCTTTTAAGGATGTGCCAGATCATGTTTTTGAGGATTATTACTGTAAAATGTGTCTTTTGTGGCACAAACAACTTTATCAACAAACCCTCTCACAAAGCAGATGGCCAAAGAGTTGGCAACGCTCTTGCATAAGGGCCTCTTTACCATCTGCTTATTCCTGGCTGGAATTTGTCCCTACAAGTGAGATCTTTCAGTTCCATGTGAGGCTGAAGTCCAATCTGCAGAACGTCGGATTCACCTCTTTTCTGCTTCACAAACACTAAGCAAAAGAAGAAGACCAATAGCAGGGGAACGGGACAGCCACTACTTTCACTCGCAAGAAATGGAGTAGGGTTCCCCAGGTTTTTTAAGCCTACAGGCACATCTGGAATTCTAACACAGTGTGCTCGGTACAGCCACAAAATGGCTGCCACAGGAGGCAAGGCCAACTAAAAATGGCTACTGCAGTCACACAGTGAGGACTAGGAATGCCAGCCTCCAGGTGGGACACGGGGATCCCCCAGAACTGCAGCTCACCTCTACACTACAGAGATCAGTTCCCTTGGAGAAAATGGATGCTTTGGAGGGTGGACTCTATGGCACTGTACTCCACTGAGGTCCCTGTCCTCCCCAGGCTCCACCCCCAAATCTTCAGGAGTTTCCCAACCTAGATCTGGCAATCCTACCCACCCACCCGCCCCCTGCTGGTGGTCAGGGGGGATCTGGCAACCCTAGTGGGATCCTTGTGCTGTGGCAGCAACATTTTAAAAAATCTACACAGCCAATCAAATTTCCAATGGCCAATCAGAAGCCTTGCTGAGCAAAAGCCCCACCTGGCTCTGCCCACTTTCTAAAAACAACTGACGGCACCAGGAAAGGTGTCAGAGAGCACCATGGCACCCACGGGCATTACGGTGGTGACTGCTGGAAGAGACAAACCTGAATGAACTGATTGGGTCTATGCTAATCTAAACACCAGTTTCTGAACACAAAGAAGGCATGACTTAAATTCAAGATTAACCACCTCCCGCTACTCACAGCATTAAGATATCTGAGTGCTAGTTAACACTGCCTGAATTTCTCATGATTGTATATGGGTTCACCAAATGGGGGCTCACTTACAAGAATGAATTATCTAGGGTGAAATTACAGGAAAATGTGATGATATAAACTCACTGTTGTTCTCAAAGAGGCTGTAAGATCAACAGTAAACCATATGCTGTGCGTATATGAAATCACAACTGAAAATCTGCTATCTAAAGGCGAGAACAGTTTTATCCCCTATCTTTGTACCAATTTTTTTTTAATGTTTACTATGAACCTCCTGCTCCTGAGAACTGCAACTCAGTTTTTGATAGTCTTCCTTTTCTTTCATAAATGCTGGATTTGTGCAATCGTATCCATGCACATTCTGAAAAACCTGATAAGTGTATCAACCCTGGGAGTGAGGAACAGATGCTATACCCGAACATGGAATTGTAAACATCCAAGTTCCTGGACTTAGTATCTCTGGCTGGGAGGGCGGGGTATAAATCTGATAAATAAACAGTGAAAAATTGTAATTAAAACCTTCTTTAAGAACACCTTCCAGTAAGGAAGACATTGCAATGGTTGAGGAAGACCAAGAGGAAAAGGAAAAGGCAGTGTGAGGCTTTGTTCAGATGAGTCGCAGCAAAGTATATATATA